TGGTTAGACAAAGATCAAATGTATTAAAAACCAAGCATTTTGATAGCTGTCGGATAATGTACACGAACATGTTCAGTCGCATGCTGACAATGATCCTTCGTGATATGAGACTTGGCATTCACTGGAAATTGAAAAGGTATAGTGTAACGGAGAATTTCGTGATTCGTGATATTTTGCAACCAACAAAACAAATGCGTACTTCACTGTGCCAATCAAAGAGAATTGGGAAGGATTCTGTAGGCAAATTCCAGTAGTTTCCGCTGCGGCTGCAATTCGGCTCCTAATCCCCTTGGATCGAATATTGAGAACTATGTGGATGAGTCCAAACGCCTCGGTCACCGCAACCACGTGGTTTGACTCCACTATGTGTGAAACGATCGAACTGTTTATAGTCCTAATCACCCCACCATTCGGCCAGGCCGGCTGGTGCTCGCGGACTCGTTCAGATACACATCTGCTTGTGAAGCCAATGTAATCCGCCCCACAGGAACAGGCAAACAAGTACATACAGGAATAGACAATTTATCTTTGAGTTGAAAGCGCCAAAGTGGACTGAAGTTGAATACAATGAAAAGTTTCCCTTCAAGGAATGCTTTTTTCATGGTTTTATTCAGTTTGTGTCACAATTTTGGCTGTTGTGTCGCCCTTAAAAGGTAGTGATTTGTAAACCGGTTTCTTATCAACCTTCGTGATCTTATTTGATGTGTGTGATGAACAAAGTGTGAGCGACATCCGGTCATGGAGCTGGAATGTTGGTTATTTCTCCACCAATTTCTCTTCATATTAAACTTTTTGACATCAATCGTGATGTATTAGCCTGTAGATGAATCACTGCAAACTAGCTAGTTCGTTACTGTAGTCATTCTTACAATTTCCCGTCACTCATGGCACGCAGGACCTGTGAACAACATGATGATCTGATGCAAGAAACTTCTAGCATATCGATCACTATTGCAACCGCACAGCTAGAAACCAGTCCGTTCTCCAGTGACCTAAAATGCATCCAAGCCGCAAAGCGAAAACTCAGGCACGGATACACCAATCAATCCGTGTCAATACTTTGGGGTTTAACATCTGCACTCCACGTGTCGACTTCGCCATGTTAAGAGCCATGGGTGCGGGAAAATTGGCCACATATGTAGAGTGTGTAAACAACTCTGCTGTAACCTGAGAGCCGCCGACCGAGCAAAACACAAACCCGGTGTTCACACTCCGAACTGAGAGTCGGTGTGCCCAATTCATATACTAAGATGTGGTACTACAGTTTGGCGCAGTTGCAGTGTCGAGTTATTAATACTTGCCACCAGACGGTTATACACTTGTTCCACCAGACGATCGCCACAATTAAAACGTGACACCTGATTGTTCAACTGGAAGATGAAATCAGGACAAGCTATGTTTTTGACACGTACACAGGAACTGAATTGGGCCCTTTCGTGTGCCTGGAATGCAGTAGGCAGCAAGAAGTAAGGTAGCATTCACTTCAAGGAGTCATATAAAAGCCTTGCGCAATGCCATGGGATAAAGGTCACGGTCGCCCGCAGTGAGAAATAGGGCCGATTGGTTCTGCGCGCCACCTTTACGAATGCTTCACCACAACACGAACCACTCCAACCAATCCTCGATCTGGAACGGACTGACATGCAGGTGCAATTGTTCAAGAGTTGGCAGCCCCATTGCGCTGAGCAAAATTGTAGTAATGGGAATAGGCACGAATAACGGATCACGGTCGCAACTGAAGCACAGAATCGCACTGGCAATTGTATGCTGCGACCTCCCGTCATCGAGAAGAAGGAAAAAGTTCACCGTAGTAGCGCTCAGTTTATTGAGGAAAATAAAAGAGATTACATAACATATTCAAAGAAATTTAATTTTTTACACAGGTCTCCATCAATGACTTGCTTGTATTCTTGACGTTATACAGCTTCTGTCTGGACCGCAC